GCACAAATGGGTACTTTCGGGCTACGGAAAAGGTGGTCTGCAGCTAGATACCATTGCAAACTATTACTCGTCCACCATAAGGTAAGTGCAGAAAGTGAAAGTATACATTTACATGCTTTTAAAGCAATTTGGCACTTTTGTCACATTTGTATTATAGTTTACAAAGTATTGATTTATGTCGAAAATTTAAACAAATAAAATAAACCAACCCAGGCCTTTCCCACAGAGAGTTTGAAAGCTCTGTTCTAAAAGTCCCCCTGCATTAGGCCTGATCACTAGAGCAGTGGGCCTGCTGGCTTCATCCCCCTGGTAGCGTGGCTTCTACCCACGAACGTGCAGGGGTTGTGCCACAGACTGATGCTAAGGAATGTTATGAGAAACGAGCCACAGCACTTCTCTTATTTTTATATCAGAATGTTTTTGAATTGTTCATGATAGTACACAACATACTCTTCAAGAAGACCCACAGAAGAAATTTCTTTCTGGCTTTAGTATGTGGAATAATTATTTTCCCTGCACAATTGTTTTTTATGTTTTAGACTTTATAAATTCTGCAACTGACCACAGTTTCCTCATTAGGTGGTTCCTAGGAAGCTCAGAAACAAATACGTAACTTATCCCTAGTAAATCTTTATCCTTTCCTTATTTTTTCCTATGCCACAGTATACTCATGTGCATATTTTTGTTTTATCCTGTTCAATCACAGATTTTTTTAAAGCTATCTTAAATTCTTTATGTAACATGCACATATGTACATATGCGTATATTAAATTTAAAATGCAAAAGAAATTTCTAGACTATGTACTATCCTAGCACAACAGTTCCTTTTCATGCTTAACTCCTTATTCCTTGCAGTCTGAAAGCTGGGCTTGATTCCCCATTTGTTAGCTATAGTCACCCAAATTCTCCAAATGGAACCAATCTTCTACTCCCCGGGAAAATGCAAGGGCCCTAAGAAGACCAAAGAATTATAGAAAACAGTATATGATTATTATACACCTTCCTTTCTACCCTGTGATCAAATATTTCACACATATATCCACAACTTCCCTTGTCACTAGTGTACACTCACATAAACATTGCCTAAGTGAGAACTGGTTTTATCGGTAATATACATACACTATGATCTTTTTTGGAGCAAATTAACAATAATTTTGCCAGAAGGACTTCTGGAAACAGAAGGAAAACATTATGGGATAATTTGTACTCAGATACCAGAAGACCTAAGGTTCAGACAGCAGGTGCCCCAACTCCTAGGCTGGGCCCTCAGTCAGTGCACATACAAAGTGAGCCTACAGTGAAGGAGCTCTCTTCATGTGCCTCTGCTGGAAAGAAGGGCAGACTCGTTAGAGAAAGAAGACATTGGTCAAACTCCAACTGTCTTACTATGAGTGGTCATACTCTAGTGAACCAACACAAAGAAGGAAGAAATGGAATTAGTGGTGGGATGGGAGAGTCCTGAAGGAATGCATCTGAACTATCCCACACTCATGACGTCAGGTCAAAATGAAAAATCTAATTTTTCTCACCTTTTTTAGTTACCGCTTCAATTTTGTGGATACAATTGCTCAATTCTTTCTGGAGACGCTGGACTTCTAGTAGGCTTTTCTGTTCACTTAAGTTTTTGTGGTCACCTATCCTGGGATGAGGCTGACAGAGTCCTGTATCACGGGTGGGTGGCGAATTTGGCAAGTTAAGACTTGATTGTCCTGGATGAGATGTGTACAGGTATACCTTGGCACCCGAGCTGGAAATTTCTACTTTGGATGGCTGGTGGCTGCACTGACACACTTCTTGACTCTTTGATTCCTTCCTTTCCACCCTGTGGTCAGATATTTTATACTTAGTATGTCCACATTTCTGAGAGCTTTGGGGCTGAATTCTGAGATGATGTTCCTTTATACGTTCTTCAAATTGTCTTCGTTTCACATCTCTTTTGGCTAAGTGGACAGCATAGCTAAGTCTCTCTTCTGATATGACGGAAAATGAAACAGAACTGCTTAGGTCAGGATCAACTCTAAAATTTGCATCTTTACAATGGTATGATTCATTGTACGAGTGCTTCAGTTTTTCAATTCTAATTGCATGTGGGCAAGAATATCGGATTGCCAAGTTGCTTGAATGTGTAGGAACATTCCTATTAAACTGCAGCTGGTTCTTTAGAAAGTAAATAAAAGTAAGCAGACGTTAGAAAAATAACATATTACATCGTTGGTGTATGTCAATAATTCAGTTTCTAAAATTTTACCCACCAGATTATTAGTGCTAAGAGGTACTTTGTTGGGCTGATAGAATCAGCCACTTTCTTACACCACTGAGTTCATCACATACCCCTGGTTCTATGCTACAATCTTATGTTAGCTAATATCATCCTGGGATCATACCCTAAAAGCCAACCCAGAAAACTTCAAGCAGCAATCAGTAAGTTCCAGTTATGAACTTCTGTCCTGTCTCAAAATATCAGGCTCCAAGAATCATTAGGACTATTATGAAACTATATGCCAATAAATTGGAAAACCTAGAAGAAATAGATAAATTCCCAGACACATACAACCTACCAAGATTGAACCATGAAGAAATCCAATACCAAGTAATGAGATAGAAGCAATAATAAAAAGTCTTCCATCAAAGAAAAGCCCAGGACCCCAATGGCTTAACTGCTGATTTCTACCAAACATTTAAAGAAGCACTAATACCGATCCTATTCAAACTATCACAAAAAATCAAGGAGAAGGGAACACTTCCAAACTCATTCTATGAGGCCAGTAGCACCCTGATACCAAAACCAGACAAAGACACAACAAAAAAAGAAAACCACAGGGCAATATCACTGATGAACACAGATGCAAAAATTCTCAACAAAGTATTAGCAAACTGAAGTCAACAACACATTAAAAAGATTATTTCTCATGATCAAGTGGGATTCATTCCAGGGATGCAAGGATGGTTCAGTATATGCAAATCAAGAAATGTGATACATCCTATCAACAAAATGAAGGATAAAAACTATATGATCATTTCAATAGATGCCAAAAAGCATTCAATAAAATTCAACATCCCTTCATGATAAAAACTCTCAACAAACTGGGTATAGAAGGAACATACCTCAAACATAATAAAAGCCATATACAAGAAACCCACGGCTAGCATCATACTGAATGAGGAAAAACTGAAAGCTCTGAACACAACAAGGATGCCCACTTTCTCACTACTTTTATTCAACATGGTACTAGAAGTCCTAGA